AGACCCCCAGGAAGGCACCTGTAGTAAACCAAGTTGTACTTATGACTTGTTGCAGTGAGGAAGAACACACCATGGGGAGCCATGGGCGGTCACAGTAAGAAGGTGCTCAGAAGGAAGCCGTTATAGGATTTGGGCTTTGGTTGGTGACAAAGGGGATTTGCTCTTGATTGGATGCTGTCAGAAAGCTGGGACAACACTATGATTGGGCATCTTAATAAATCTTATCTATAGGGAGAGAAGTCTAGGAGGAGAATAAAGCTGGAATAGTAAAGAGGTAGTAATCACCCATTTTGGCCAAGATAAGGGTTGTTTGGTATTTTATGGTTGGCAGAGTGATTCTGTTTTTGTCTGTGCTTAGGCAAACTTGTGGAGTGCTCCGTTTTGTCTTATTATTTTTTTAAAGACTAGTTTATTTATTTTTAGAGAGAGAGGAAGGGAGAGAGAAACACCGACGTGAGAGTGCGTATCGATCTTCATGTTTCCAGAATGGCCTTGTTTGAACTTGGTATTTCATGAAATTATTTCCATCTGATAGGAGAATAACGTGGCTTAGCTGTGAGTGCCAGGGCAGCTTCTGAATATCAGAAGCTTCTCTTATTGTTTTTTTCTACTTATTAGCCTCTCTCATTAGTTGTGCAGCCTTGGGCAAGTTACTTTACCATTCTGTGCTGATTTCCTACATCTAAGTGGAAATGACTCTACTTAGCGAAAGTAGTAGGAATGAAGTCCCCTAAACAGTAGAGGATTCAGTAAGTTATCACTTTTTAATTCCAAGAATTTGTTCATCAGTCATTCCTAGACTGGATTGTGAGTGCCTTGAGGACAGGGACTAAGAGTGGTACACCTGGATACTGTTAAAATCAACCTCAAATGGAGACCAGACTTGAAAATTCCCTGAGAAGACAAAACCAGTTTAGTCATACAAGAAAAGCTAATTTAGTTTATTTTGCAAGGCAAATGAGGCTAACTTGACCTGATTCACTCTTTGCTTACGCCTCTGAAAATCATAAGCAAACTTAAATTGTTCCCCAAAATTGTGAGGTAGCCACTAAGCAATTCTCTTTCATTTAAGAAAAATTTAAAAAATATATATATATATTTTATTGATTTTTTACAGAGAGGAAGGGAGAGGAATAGAGAGTTTGAAACATCGATGAGAGAGAAACATCGATCAGCTGCCTCTTGCACACCCCCTCCTGGGGTTGTGCCCGCAACCAAGGTACATGCCCTTGACCGGAATCGAACTTGGGACCCTTCAGTCCGCAGGCCGACGCTCTATCCACTGAGCCAAACCAGTTAGGGCAAGAAAATTTTAATTATGACCAACCACTGTGACAAATAAGCAGTTGCTGCCTCCACACTATGTAGACTAATTTATAACAATACTAGAGGCCTGGTGCACGGATTCATGCACCGGTGGGGTCCCTGGCCCTGGCCTGTGCCCTCTCGAAATCTGGGACCCCTCAGGCGATGTCAGGCTGCCAGTTTCGGCCCAATTCCTGCAGGCCAGACCGAGGGACCCCACGGGTGCACTGGGCCTCTAGTATGCATATAAGATCTTTGGTTAATCTCTTCCTGCCCTCCCCCCTTCCCTCTGAGATTCATCAGTCTGTCCCATGTTTCCATGCCTGTGCATTGAGCATCTGCCCCTGGTGGTCAGTGTGTGTCATAGCTACCAGTCAAAGGGTTGAACGGTCGGTCGCTTAGGCTTTTATATATATGGAAGCCTCTGAATCTCACTGTGTTTGAGAGCTCCAGGTTTGAAAACTGTCTTTTTGGTGGCTGCATAATAAACTTTTATTGATTATTGCTTACGTGATTCATTGGTTTTACTCGTGTGTATATTTAATGAACTTTGACAATACTTAAGCAATGTTTGTTGAATCCTGATCCAAACTTTCTCATCTGCCTGCCTTTTCTCATTTTTCTCTCATCCTGTCTACCCTTCCCCCTTGCCCACCTATCTAAAGCCTAACCCCAAAGGATAACCAGTCGTTGGGGCACTTTCTCTGTACCATTCTGATGGTGCTTATTACAGTGTTTTGTGTACTAAAGGAATATAGTGTGTGTGTTTTAGGACATAATAACTACTCAGTAATGTTAACTATTATAATCATGTTATAGCTTTTGTATTTTTGTAAGTTCCTTTAGGACAGAACTCTATTGTACTTTATTTTTTGTTTCACTTTACAGTGTCTGCAAAGCACAGTGGCAAAGTGCTGAGGGGTTCTGAGAGCTGGGGGGCTCTGCAGACACGCAATGGTGACAAAGAGAGGAGCTGACTCAACCCATCACCCACACAGCGTGGGCCAGCGAAGGCCCCATCTCCCAACTTTCCATTCATTGCTCAAGCGAGAGCCTGTCGGCTAAGTGTAAATGAAATGAGGAGGCTTTGGCTAGATAGAAAATATAAAGATTTATTCAAGGTTTCAACCAGCAATACACCTGGGCGGGAGAAAACAGGAAGGCTGAGGGTTCTTACAGTAAAAAGTACATTTTTTGAGAAGAATCAGCCCTGCATTCTTAGCCTCTGGCTTGGTTCCAGAGGGTGACCCCTCGAACCTTCTTTCGTTTGCTCTCCAGGGCGTTATCAGACGTGTATCTGCGAGTCTGATGTGTATGCAGGCGTTTTCACAGGACTCGGAAGCTCCAAAGTTTCCGTTTGCAGGCCAGTTAAAAACAACAGAATCCTTTCCCCATAACGCAGCCTACTTGATTTCGGTAGTTTAGCAGCTTGACTCTAGGCGCTCCATTTTATTTCTTCAAGCCAAACTCTCCGACAACAACCGCTGCAGGGATGAGGCGGGCGCGCGGGCGGAACCTTAGTCCTCACCTCTGTTTCCCGCGACGCCGCCCCTATGGCTACACTACCAAACGGAAGGCCTCCTTCCCCTACCCACGCTGGCCTATTCTGAGTAGGTTCCGGAGTTTGCGACTAACTTCAGCTAAATGACTAAGGACAATTTTCCCAAGCGGCATCTCCCCAGCGCGGTCCTGCGAGCCCCCCAGAGTGGGCGGCGCCAAGCCTGGAGCCAGGCACGT